GGGTGCGACTCTCTAACCAGTTGGCGACCCATTGGACTGTATGGGTGTCTACGCCACAGTCCCCCAGCTTCCTAATGAGAATGGGGTGAGAGACAGTGTCAAAAGCCTTCCTGAAGTCTAGGAAAACTATATCCACTGCCACCCCTGCATCCAATGATTTAGTGACCTAGTCGTAAAAGGCCAGTAACCTTAAGCTTTGAAAGATAGGAGCAATCCACTGATCCCTTATCCTGCCTCTCTCCATCTTAGCGAGGGCCCACCTGTCCCATGAACATAAGATACTCGGGGAAAAGGGACTCAGGATGGTGGCACCTTACACTGGGAGGAGTGGGTGGAGTGTGGATAATGCTGATTCAGCATCCTGTCAAGTCAGGATCCCAAGAGCCTCGGGAGGATAAATTTGAAGACTCCTGCACCTCTAACTTTCCAATGCTCTGCAATCTCTACAATGGGCAGCTGCTACCCTCCTTTATCTCAGTGGTAAGAAAGGACTCCTGGAGAGACTGACACTGGCCTGCAATAAGGAGGAACTGTCAAGGGATTTAACAGCAGCCTTCAACTCCCTGCAGGGGGGTTGCAAAGAGGATGGAGCTGGACTGTTGTCAGTGGGGGCAGATGACAGGATAAGGAGCACTGGGCTTAAGTTGTAGCAAGGAAAGTTGGGGTTAGACATTAGGGGAAAAAAATCTCACTAGAAGGGTAATAAAGCACTGGAACAGGTTACCCAGAGAGGTGGTGGAGTCTCCATCTTTGGATTTTTTTAAAACCTGGCTAGACAAAGCCCTGGCGGGTCTAGTTGGGGCTGGTCCTGCTTGGAGCATGGGGTTGGACTAGATGTGACCTCCTGAAGTCCCTTCCCACCTGAATTTTCTATGATTTTATGAGTCTAAGACCAGCCCCTCACAGCTTCTGTGAAGCATACTGGGATGCACCATCCTTTCCGGGAACAGCCCTGGGGCTGCCACTGCTGTTGGGATTTGTTGGCCATTGTTATGACAGATGCCTACAGCTGCAGCAGTTCTCAGCAGCACTGAGCACATTGAGCCACTGCCCCAATGAGAACAGAACATGAAGGTTATCCTGGGCAGATCTCACCCACATTTTCTAAGTTTAAACCATCCCTCCTTTTAAAGGAAATGGGCTAAAAGTGCACCTGATGGTGTACTTATACACACCCTCTCCTGTTTTAAAGCAACTCCTGCTGCCAACATTGCTGTTTGGTAAAGAATCACTTCCATGTTACAGCTTGGGAACTGAACCCCCAAAAGTAAAAGCATCTTATCCATGATTTGGCTGCGAGTTAGTGGCACACTTGGGAACAGAACCCAGGCACCTTGATACCTAGTTCCCTGCTCTGACCATGAGACAATGTTGCTAATATGCTGATCAGCTCATCAGGTAGTAGGAGCCAAAAGAATAACGTATTCCCCCCACTCCCCAACTTTTCCAAGAGAAAAAAGTCACCTCCTTTTGGAGGTTTCATTGTATTAACAAAAAAGGCTGAAGCCCAACCGAAAACTTCTAGCATTCCTATCAGGAGCAGTGTGCACCAGCTGCAGTGTCCTCTGCCATACCCTAGTGTGTGAGCAGCAATTAACCTGCAGCTCTCTGCAGAGTTATAATAGCTGCAGATTTGTCCATGTGATTTTCCTTCAGCCCTCTGGCACAGCCCCACTGTTGACCTGCAAAGTGTCATGGATAAG